CAGGAAACAAGCTGCAGAAGCAAAAGGAGGGCCCTTGGAGCTTAGAGGAGGGAAAGGCAAAGGTAACGTGCCTGGGGGAAGAAGAAGGGAACAGGAAAGGTGTGGGCGTGCAGCCAAGAGGGAGAGTCTGCAATAAATTTCTTTAAAAAGTTTTTTTTTAAATTTATTTTTAGAGGGAGGGGAAGGGAAGGAGAAAGAGAGAAAAAGAAACATCGATGTGTGGAGAAATTTCGGTCAGTTGCCTCTCGGGTACCAGGCCTACAATCCAAGCATGTGCCCTGACGTGGAGTTGAACCTTTTGCTTCGTGGGATGCTCAACCAACTCAGCCACGTTGGTCGGGGCTGAATTTCTAATATATATCTTCTGTTGATTCTGTTTTTGGTTGAATCCTGACTGGTAACAAAATTTAGATGTATTTTAGATTCTTCCAAGGCACTGGACAAGAACAAAAAGAGGGAAAGTAGATACCTGATAATCAAATTGTTCATATTAGATTTTCTCTTGTAATATAGAGCTGAACAGATGACAGAGATCTCAGAACCAGTGAAATAAGGAAGATTATGTGAGGCTAAATTGAAGTTCAAGTCTACAAATGCCTAAAAGACCCACGTACATGGTAATAGAGACAAAACTTTGGAGCAACAGTTATGCTTATTTTCATTTACTAAAACAAATAATAGTTTCTTGCATTTTCTAAATATACTATATTTTATTGTATATAGTGCACTCTTGCTTATAATATGCACCCTTATTTTGGGCCCAAACTTTCAGGAAAAAAAATCTTTCATTTAAAATTTTTAATTCAATTTTTTACTTATTTATATTTAGAAACAAAGCCGATGATCATACTCCAGGGTATTGTTATACATGCAGATATCATTATTGCTTTTTAGAATTATGCTTTTAATATATAAGCATAAATAAAAGAATTAAAAACATTTCTATAGATATGAAATTAGTACTACCCATGTATAATGCATATCCTTATTTTTCCCTCAAAAATTCAGGCAAAAATGTGTGCATTATACATGGCAAAGTATGATACTTTGGAATTTAATGTATAAAAAATAATGGCTGCTGAATTTTTATTAGGCAGGTATAGAAATCTTCAGATAATGTAATTTTACCTTTTTTAATTATTCTAAATATATAAAATCATACATATTCCAAATGCAACTAACTATCAAGATTTAAGGCCACACTAACCATCAAGAACTATTGAGTAGTAGTTCTATGTTTTATGTTTTATGTTGAATAGGAAGTAATAAAAAATTAAAAATCACTGAAAAAGAAAGGAAAATATGGAGCCTTTGCCTGTGCTTTGGGCCTCTGTGGATGGCCATCTGCAGGCAGTGGCATTTACTGCTTTTTAACCAATGGGAATCTCAACAAAGAATCCTGCTGCAGGTATGTATATGTGGCTTAGCACATGTGGTTAGAAGAGGAGAATATGCAGGAAGATAAGAAATCAGTTTACATCTGGAGGGAATGACTGCTTCTAGGAAGGCAGGAGGGATTCTCAACGGGAAGTATGTCCCAAGCAAAGAGGACTTTATGAACTGATGACATCACTCTAGAGAATAACATCAAAGTTATTCTTAGTTGGAGGCTATAGATACATTATGCCCCCATGAGAAAATACTAACAATGGAAGGTACTGAGAGTTATTCTGGAGATGAAACATCAATACATAAAAGAAGTACTATAAAAGTTATCGTCATTTAACACAATTTTGACAGTATGAACAATGTTCTATCACTTTACATCTTGGAAGTTATGTAGGTTGGATCCTCCGGGAAGCAAATGCTGGAATAAAGTTACAAATTTAAGAGATTTATTGGGGGGCTAACATCTGTGAAAAGCAGAAAGGTTTGGGCAGGGAGAGTTGTCACAATATACTGCAGAGCTGACAAAGTGTCTGCCAGTTCAGCAGGGACCTCTTAAGCAAAGATTACACCTTAAAGGGGTCCAGTGTCAGGCAAAAGTGGCTAGACCTGTTCTCTTACCTGCTCAGTCAAGGACCGAGTGACCCCCGGAAAATAGCATGACCTCAGGTTAAAAGCTAAAGGAAACCCTTGCAAAAAGGCTAGAGCCTGTTGGCTAATCACACTCCTTGTCACTGGGTAGAGTGTGCTTTCCTGACAGGAAATCAGTCTGCTTATCTATGTCTGCCCCAGCACGGTAGTGCGGCACCAGTAAAATTTTGGCGGCTGTGTATTTGGAGACGAAAACTAATTAGGCCTGAACAAGAGGTGTTAGTGAAGTGCACTAAAATTCTAAAATTCCAGTTGAGGTCATTTATAGTGGTACACCACCACCAATTCCTTAGGTAACTAGAGCAGTCGCCACCAACAGGTTAGGGATTAAAAATATTGGATGTTGCATGAGGTGTCTAAAATGATAAGACTATTGTTATTCCTATTTCATCCCACATAACTTGTTCCTAGTGGGACAACTCCGGCCTTGCTTGTGATGGCCCATTACAGGTCAAGTTGCCTTAGTTGTGAAATGGGCAAAAGGAGTTCAGAATGGCTTTTTGGGGGGAAGATGAGAAGGAATCATTTGTTAAACAAAGATCAAGAAGGGGGATTTAAGAAAGTCAGATTGGATCTTTTTGATGTACCACTTTTTTCTGGTCTTCTGTACAAGTTCCACAGTAGTGATGGACAGAAAGAAATGAGGGCTTTTGGGGAGTGGGGGTGTAGGGGGTATATAATAGCATGGTGCTCAATCTAGTGGAGGGTCTGGAGTGCCACCACTTTCTAGAGATTTGGCTTTAGACAGGTTCCTCAACCTTCAGTGCCTTAGTTTCCTGGTTTGTTAAACAAGGATTACAGTTGTGCCGACATTGTGGAGTTGCTATGAGGATGAAATGATATAACACATGCTGTCCCTGCTTGAGAAGTGTTCAATACCTGTCAGGTGTCATTCTATTTCACTTTTGCTTCTTTCTCTTCCTCCTCCACTGGGGAAAAAAATGCTTTCTTGTTCAATTTTTTTTCACCTGTTCTCTAGATGAGCAAAATGCTCACAAAATTTGGGAGGAGAGTAAAATCGAAAGAGCCTGTAACTCTAACAGGATTCAGCATGTCTGCTTTTGGTCAGGTCTTTGGTTTTCATTGCTGTGTTCTCAGTACCGTTCTGGGTGAGCTGGGTGTAAAAAATGGCCTCTGTCCAGAGCAGCAGTCTATTTGAAAAGCAAATGGATATATAAATGATTAATGAAAATAAAAGCACATATTAAATTAAGCTCTAAATAACCCATACAGACCATAAGTGATGTAGAAATCTAATTTCACTGCTGACATTGGCTGTTAGGTTTTTTCAAAATGATTTATGTTCTTTTTATTTTGCTTAATAATATGGTGTGTGTGTTTTTTTTAATCAGTAACTGTTGTTTTGATCACTGAAAGGTGATGCCACTTGGGTGAAATTATGAGGGTGAGCTCTTATATAGTAAAACGATAAAATGTCTTGTGTTATTTAAATATATAATATATTAAGTGAACTAAAAAGAAAGCAAGTTTAAAGAAATTTAAATATATTATTACCTCTTAATATTGTTAGTCTATTAATGCTCTCTACCACTATATCTGTTAAGATGACAAAGATAGGAAGAGCTGATGAACGCTTTGAATAAAACTATTAGGAAGGTATAATTTCTTTTTTGGTTGTTGATTTCAGTAAGTTTGTCTTTATCTTATTCTTACTAATTTAAGCAAGTAATCAGGCTCATCCATTGGGCCTCTTCATTCCAGAAATCCCCTTTGGCAATTCAGGAGTTAAAATAAAAAAGATGCCTGGCCTAAATCACCTGGGATCATAATGTAGTTTCAGCTTATAGAAGGCAGGTCTTTGGGTTAAAAGGTCCTTGATCTACATTGCTCATCACATTCTTGTGTTCCACAGAGAAATATGCTCTGTGCCCTGTGGGAGATACACACACGGTAGGTGTGGATTTAAAAAGAAAAGGGTTCTATGGAAAGTAACCTCACAAGATGATTTGATCATAAATTCCTAACCAGGCAGGTCATGGTGGGTAGTCAACACCCAGGCATATAACTTTAGTGAAAGGTTTTAAGCCAGCCCTGCCCATTGTTCCTGTGCATCTAGGTTAACACGCCTTTGAAATACCAGAAGTAACACCCTTGAAAGGGTGTATTAACCATCCAGAGAGCACCTAATCTTAACAGTAATCCAATCTCCACCTTGCTTTCTCTAATCTTCTTTAAATCCCCTTGTTAATAGTAAATGCGTAAACTATTACCTTCCCGAGTATTTGCGATCTTGCTAACTGGCGTATGTCATCGATTAGGCTCAGAGGAAGTCTTCTAAAAATTGTCTACAAATTTGGACACTTCTATGCTGACATAGGTCATGTGTGGTTAACCATATACTGAGAGTGTCTTACAACGTTACTCACAAAGTGATTTCTTGCTGTTAAACTCTTTCAGATTATTAATGTATAACCACAAAATAGTTCCTATCATTTCATAATTTTCTTATATCCTCCCAGTAACCTAGGGCTCTAGAGGCCTCTTTCCATGGTGAGATATGAGTATGGCTGAAGGGTCCTTTTTTGGATTCTTACATCTTTTAGTACTAAGAGAAAAACAGCAACAAAAAATATTTTCAAGATATCTCTTATCTTACTGATGATGATGAGGGTTTTATAAATGTCACAGAGATGGATCTCCCTGGATTGTCCTAGGCCTGATGAATAAGAAGAAGAAATGCTGGTTAATGGGTGGCAGGTCACCAGGTGTTCTAGGTGTTCTACACCTGGTGACCTGCCACCCACTCTAGGAATGCGTTCCCTCCCCCCTCCACATCTGTTTTTGCCTGGTGTAATGGTGCACAAGCCGGTGCTTGCTTGCGCGAAAATGGCACAACAGAACAGACCAATCATGGACAGCGATCTCCGCCCCTCGCCTTTTGCCACCGCCCACTCTCGGCCGTCCGAACAACCTACACAGCTCCCAGTGATTAGTGTTACTCTTCCATCTCCTCCCACTCAACCAACGCCCCCTCCACTCGCGCCGCGGATGGGACGCCGGAGGACCAAGCAGGCATGCGCGACCAACCCGAGCATGCTCAGTAGCGCGCACGGCGCCCCGGAGCTTCATCCAGCCGCTGCTGACGCGGAGGTCTCCGCGGCAGCCGCGGGAGCGGCAGGAAGTGAAGCGGCCTGTCCCGGCGACCGCGGAGGCAGAAACAGAGGCGGAAGGGACCCTGCGGCGACGTCGTCGTCGACGGGGGTGACGGAGGGGGCTGAGTATCTAGGGGACTCGCTGGCTGGGAAGCCGGATCCCGAACCGGGCAGGATGGATTATCACCAGCCGGGGACTGGCCGCTACCAGGTGGTGAGTGCCTAGCCCCCGCCCCGACCTCCTGCGCCTCTGGGGGACCCACGACTGTCTCCCGACTGTCTCCCGCCGTGTCCCCGAGAGTCCTTTTTCTTGGATTGTTCCCGGAGGGGACGCACTGGTTTTTCTTTTCTTTTTTTTTTTTGGTGGCTCTTCTGGTCGGACCTGCTTTCTTCACATCTGTGGAGCCTGTCTCTGCACCTCTTGGAGACCCTTCCCTCCCGACCAGTCTTCCAGCTCCCCACACCCCACCCACACCCTGTCCCCGTCTGTACAGCATCCACTTCATTAAAACATACCTGTTTTATTTATCACTTTTCTCGATCATTTCCTCATTCCCTGATTCAGACACTTCTGAGACATTCCACTGGATTGTCTGTTGGAAACGGTACGGAGTTCCTATACCTGCTGGGAAGGTGAACGCCATCATAAATGGAGTGGGGGAAGGGGCTGGAGATGTAAGCATTACGCAGGGTCAGATGTGGACTTGGCGGAAAAAAAAGGAGGGGGGATTTAAGAATTGTGAAACGGTAGAGAGTAGTCGTGATGCTGATAAGGTCTCTGAGCTCTAGTTAACCTTGTCATTTTGTCCTTTTCCATTTTGTTGGTACATACTGAAAGTGACTCTTCTTTTTTTCTGTCACCACATTTTCTTACCCCTATGTGAGGAAATAGGATGTTTTACTAGAAAAATGCTAATCTTGTTAGAAAAATAGTTTTTCATTAAGTACAGAATTTTCCAGTTTAACCGTATAAACCTTTGTATGTTGAAATGAGTGAAAACTGTACCTGTATTATTTTCAGTGTCAAATTTTCTGATATCCAGGGTCCAGCAGAAATAAGGCCTGGTTGAGTGGTTGGTAGGGTAATAATATGGGTATAATAATTTATAGTTTTAATTTGAACATTTCACCTAAAATGTCATATGGTGTGCTTGAATGTGATAGTTATGCTACAGAATTATATGTTTATAATTTTGTAATGTAACATTTTGTAATAAAAAGGGGCGTTATTTTGCCCGACCTTGTATTCCCCGCCCCCCCCCATTCTGGTGGTGTCATTGGAACCCATATTTAAAAGATGGACTCAGCAATAGTTCATTGTTTTGTTCCAGCTGATGGGCAGTTATTAGTACTGTTTATAACATTTTACAAATGTATACATGTTAGTGGAGCTTTCACCTTTCAAATCTATTTGCACATGTGAAACTTGTGAACTAAGAATTTCAATTAAGTGCTTTTTGACAAATGTGAAGATTACTGAAGGATGAAATCCCAATGTAAGTTTGAATTTTTCTACAACAAAAGCTCGTGATGCTTCCATTTCATCTGGTTTACAGCCTTTAAAACCTCCAAGTAATCCATATTCTGAAATCTTTGGAAATTTATTAGGTTTTTTTTTCCAGGACAGTTTGGAAAATATTGCTGCTAATATGTAAGGCATTTTTTGAGTTCTCAGTGTATATGAGTTTGGTGGTTTTATTTTTTTAAGGCATTCTTATTTTTACAGACGTTAACAAAAATGAAATGCATTAAGTAAATATTGAATACTCTTACCAGTAGGAATGGTTCATTTTTGTAATCCCTTTTCTTTCCTGTTCTTACTTGTTTTCCTGGATGGCATTAACTGTTTTGAATTCTTTCTCTGGGGATTTTGCTTACCAGAATTAACAATGTCCTCATACAGAAATCACTACTCAAAACATTTTTAACTGATGTAGCTGTGCCTTAAAATAATTTGTTGTATTGTCACATTTGCTTTCAGTGGTTATGACCAGTTAAGACTTAATTATTTAAAAAAAATTTCTAATACCAAAATACTGAAATTTGCTTTCTTAATTTTAAGGTTTTTCTCCCCCTCTATAACTCATTTCAAAATAAGTGCACAATGTCATCATATTTATTGTTTTTTTTTTTTCAAACTGGAAATGAGTTCCGTCTTTGAATGGGTGGAGGCATTCCTTCAGGGCAGAGGGCAAAATCAGTTCTTCTGAAGATAACTACTCACTTCAAGTCGGTAGGACATCAGTTTGTTTTCTTTGGAAGGCAACGTGTTTGTGAATCTTAGCATCATTTAAATTTGGGTTTTAATTCTTATTACTACATAGTAATTTCATCTGGTTTTGTTGAGATGGCCTGATGAATAACTCTAGGTATATGCCAGAGAAGCAGCTGAATGGGTTTCCAGTAAACTATTTATCTAGGGACTAATCTGCAACTGTGGCATATTCAGTGAACACAACTTGTGTGGTTTCCTTTAGCTCAGTTTAAAAAAATAAAAATATAAAAATTCTGAAAAGATTAATAACCTTGAGCAATAAGGAATTTCAGTTGTAAAGTTGGGGACAGGCAAGCATGCTTAGGGGTGAAATGGTATGCAGTGTTAATTTGTCACATATTGGGAGAGTTTAAATTTAGCTTTCTATACTGGAAAGTTATTGATGCTCAGGACCATTAGATAGACCTACTACCATTAACCAATGCACAAGTTTTTTTTGTGGAAAATTGCTTTTTCTGTGGTCCTTTCCATTGTTAAATGGGCCTGAATTTTGTTAAGTAAAGCAGTAGCTAACTACAAAAAGCCTTGATTGTTGTCCAATTTCAGAAAAAGCCGGTACGATAGGTAGTTTCATTGTGTTATGGGAAATTCAGTTTTGTTTTGTAGGAAATGAGCAATGTTGCCGAACTAGGAGTAGTTGACGTGGCTTGAAGCTGTTAGGCTACATTCTAACTTTGATGTTCTGTATTTTAAAGGATTATGTGCCTGTAACAAGCTGACTACTAAGATTTCAAAGGTATTATTTTATGTAAAAGTTAAATTGGCACTGTATATTTTAGTAGTAGTTTCCCAAACTGTATTCCAGAATGATGGTAATAGTCTTAGAAGATTTGTAACATATTAGCATAATAAAACACACATTTTTGTATTAAAACCATGAGAAATTCTGAAGATGGTGCTTTGGATTTATTTAACCTAGTTCTTACACCTTGGCCACAGATTTTTAAAGAAAATTTTAAGATTATGTTAACATTTCTAAACGTTAGTTTTCTATGAACATAATGAAGTATTCACACTGTGAAGATCTAGATACTTGGCAGTTTTTTTAAATATATTTATTTGGGAGGGAGGGAGAAAGAGAGAGACATCAATTTGTTTTTCCCCTTATTGATGCATTCATTGGTTAATTCTTGTATGTGTCTTGACTGTCAAACTTTGCTCTTTTATCTGGAGACTTAGAGTTACTGTTGATAAATCAGCTGGGAGGGAGGTTGACTATGAATAGTAAAAAAATGTGTTAAAGCCCTGGCTGGTGTGGCTCAGTGGATTGAGCACCAGACAGCAAAACAAATGGTCTGTGGTTCATTTCCCGGTCAGGGCACATGCTTGGGTTGTTGGGCCAGGTCCCCAGTAGTGGGTGCGTGAGAGGCAACCACACAATGTTTCTCTCCCTCTCTTTCTCCCTTCTGTCTAAAAAAAGTAAAACCTTTTTTAAAACTAAAATAAAAAATAAAAATAAAACAAATGTTAATAAACCATTCAGTGTTTATAAAAATAAAAAATATGTTAAAGTCATCTGGGCTTATATTTAGATGTGCTGTTTACAGTTGAGCTTAGTTACTTAAAGTCTTAAAGCCTCAATTTTCTCATATTAGTACCTACTTCATTAGTATTATTATGAGAATTATGTAATCTATGTAAAAGATACAGTATAGAGACTGGTGCATGGAAAATAAATAGGCATAATATAAATTATAAAATATTTAAAACATTTGTTTTTGCTGATGACTACTTTTGTGTCTTGTTTTATTTAGAACCTGAATATCAGCTAGTTTTTTGTTGTCCGTGTCAAGAACTGTGAAAAGTTTTTAAGATTTTATTTTACTGTATATATGAGGTAATAAATTAGTATGTCAAGGTTCCATGATTGCTGGCAGAGACAGGAGACTCCCCAGGTCAGAGACACATGATGTGATTATTACTCAGAGTGCAGCAAGCTGCATGATCATCAGCATATCTGTGTAGGTTTTCCTTGCAACCAGGACCCAGGAGGGTGATTGGTCTAGATGGATGCACTAGTGGGTCACAGCTGAGGAACTCAGGGGCAAGGGCCCTGCACTTTTTAGCAGGGAGAAGACAATGTAGCAAACAAACAAGCTAGTTACCTTACCTTGGGAGAACAGTTAACATGTTGTAACCTTGACCTTCTGTGTTGCCTATGTGGCTTACTACAAGAATTCACTCAGTATCAGGAAATAGATAAGTTTTGTAGACTGTCACACTCAACAAGAATGCGCAAGGACACCCAGGCCCATGGTGGACTGCCTTGCCCAGCAGAACATGTTCTGGATGAGATAATAAATGTTGTTTTTTAAGTGCAGTGTGATTTACTTTTGTGTTCCCTGTTAAAGAAGTTTTGTAGTCTTTTACTGTATGTTCTCCAGTTATTGCTGCCTTTTCTTGGTACATCTTAGTTCCTTTGATCTTCACTTGTTTGTCTCCTTTGAACGTATCAATATTCTTTGTCTGGTTTATATTCTTACCACACTGCTTTTACATCATCAAGGTTGCCCATTGCTTAATATAATAGATACTTTTCAGTTCCTGTTTTGCTTCATTTTTTGTTACATGACACTAAACTTTTTCCTTGAAACTCCTTCCTTATTCCTGATGTGAGGAAACTTTCTACTCTTCTTTGACTTCCCTTGGTGAACTTATTTTGTGCTGCTTAAATGTTGATGCATTCTATGGCATATATTATTGTGATAGCCTGTTTATTACTTGTTTCCTTCATCTGACCATCTTCCAGTGTACCTGTCATATGCAGTGCATGAGTCATGTTAGTGACCTCTTATTGAATTCCCCTTTCCTCTCCATTTAATATTACATCTTTCAAATATACAGAAAAGTTGAAAGATTGTGCAGTTACCAAGTAGGGTCTACAGTTACTAACAGTTCTGTATTTGTATTACTGTATATCTGTCAATTCTTATTTTTTG